AGCTGAGTTTTTAGCACGGATACTGACTGTTGGTTGAAGTTTACCAACGGAACTCATGTCTTCATGTTTGACGCAAGCTTAATGGCCACAATTTCGCAGCCTAAATGCATGCACGTCCAAGCTCCCATTTTCTTAACTTCCGAAGCTTTCACCGACTGAACTAAACTGTTTCAATGATTTAAAGTTATTGGAATGACGTTTGTTCCTTTGCTACAAACACTGTAAAAGGAATTCCCGTTCGTATCTGTTATTTTTGAAATCAGGCACAATATAGATGGCTGTTGAACTGTTCACGAAACCTGTCAATTTGCTTGCAGCTATTTCAAAAAGAATTGTTGGGACATCATTATTGTGTTGTTTTATAGCACATAGCAGCGTAGCGTATTGAAATCTCAAGACCACGGCGGTCGGTTCGAAATATATCGCTCTGCTCCCAGGCCAGTTTGTTTTGGTTTTCTGTGTCATCAGTAGTAATTTTTGTCTGTAATTATTCAATTTGGTAGTATTTGTGATTCTGTATTATCCGGTAATATATTTTAAACCATTTTCGACAGTATTTCTGTCGTTCTAGACTGCCCTGATTCTCTTCTGTCCTGGTCGCATTTTGCTAGTGTCCTCGTCAGGCCAGTTTATCTCGCTTTTCATTGTTAAGTCGTTTTGAAATATAAATATTTGTGTAATTCACTCACATTAGTTATTTGGATTTACTTAATGACAACTGCCTGTACTAGTTTACTATAATTTCTGTAATTCTACATGACGCTGATTTACTCGTATCGATCGGTGCCTATTTTCGAAATGGCAAAGCAGACACCTTGTGGTATTTGCTCCAAAATCTTTGAACATCGGGCAAATGCGATTACATGCAGTTTATTCAGCGTAATGTTTTATATTTCGTACATTGGCCTGTTTGTTGACCAATTCCACGTAACTGAAGGTATTCAGCACGACTTTTTGAAGAGCATTTTTAAGTGATGTCAGTCTAAACTTGGACAGAAATGGAGCCGAAAAGCCTGACAAGCGCATCAGTAGGGCGAAGTGCGCAAGAATGCGCAACTCGATTTTTCCTGCACCAAAATCAGAGAAACAGCCAGCGCTTAGGATGACAGTGAATCTATACCTCGAGCAAAGTGCTAGCGTTCCGGCAGGCTCGGCTTCATGCTCTACGATTTCTTCCGTTGACACTAAAGCTCTAATTTACAATAAGCAAATTGGTGATAAGGAATGCAAAATGCAAATACCAAAGAAACCAAGACAAATGTCCAGCGACCTGAGGCTCCGCAGCCTCATGATCTTTCACGCACCTAAATCTTTTGGTTCCAGTCCATAGGTGCGCTATGAAAATGACGTCGAGATTATGCAAACTCTGATTGATAGACTGCTCGATGTAGTTGAGGGCGGGCTCAAAGTGAAACAGATTGTTCGTCTCAGAAAGGGAACCGAGAGCAAAAATCGACCTTTGAGGGTGACTTCTGTCAAAGAGGCAAATCTTAAGTTAATATTATCCTGCCTTAACAGGCTGAAAGGTCTAAAGATCCACCTGCGTGCAGACTTAGGCCCAGCAGACAGAGAGAAACTCAAGTCTGAGAGAATTGAAATAAAGCGGCGCACGGATGGTGGAGAAACAAATCTCCGTATTGTAAATTCTCGGGTGGTCACCCGGATTCCCCCGCGAATCCGGATCAACAGATTTCTAATGCTTCAGGCGCGCCCAGCGGCTCCTACCGCGGCCTGAGCTTAGCCTTTACTAACCTCCGCAATCCGATGAGCAAACGCGATATGCGGTACTAGTTTGTAACGTCTCAGCAGTTAGACGTATTAGGCCTTGCTGAGACATGGTTAAACTCCGACGTAACCGCCCAAAAAGTGGAAACCAGCGGGTACTCATGCTACTGCTGTGATCGACACTCAAGTGTTCGCGGTTGCGTTCTGCTTTACATGAAGTCTCCCTTGCGTGGGAGACTAGTACGCACCTACCGAAGCGCTGATGGTCTACGTGAGCATTTATGGCGTTCGATGCACCTCAGAGGCTGAGAACTGCTCGTGGGCTTGGTATATCGCAGTCCACTGTGCCGCTGGTTGGACTGGTTGCCACATGTTCGCAACCACATGAGTTGTCAGCTGTTCCTACTCATGGGCGATTTCACTTGCTCCCAACTTCTCCCCGCCTGAGTCCTGCAGGCAATCTGCCAGTATTGGAAAGGTCGGCTGGACAGCCCCTTACCTCGCGCACAGATGATACGTCCGCATTGGCGGCGCACTTCGCCTCCGTATTTCCAAGTGACAAGGTATCTGTAACGAGTTAAACGAGTACCGCTCCCGCTGAACTAGACAGCCTGGACTGCAGCATTGAAGATGTACGTAAGCTTCCGGCAAGTCTTGACGGGACGAAGCCTGCCGGGCCAGATGGAATCCGCCCACCGATTCTCAAGTCTCTATGGAGCATCATCTCGCCTTCTGTAACTGAGCTGTTCAACTGATCACTGGACTATTACCGGGCGACTGAGAATGCTCAGTCGTAAAGCCCATACCGAAAGGTGGTAACCCAAGCAAGGTGGATAACTACCGGCCGATCTGCCTGACCGCTGTTTCGATAAAGGCGCTCGAGAAGATCGTGAAGAAGAGTCTTCCGCAGGTTCTCTAGTCCAAAAGCCTCTTGACGTCCGCACAGCATAATTTCGTGAAAGCTCGCTCGTGCATCACCAACTTATTGTTGAGGAGGCACGAATGGTTACAAGCGCTGAAACAAGACAACTCGGTCGACGTCATTTTCCTTGAATTCAGTAAGGCTTTTGACAAGGTAAATAATACAGTGCTCCTTGACAGGCTGAGGGTGTGCAGTGTTGTCTGCTCGCTGCATCGATGTATCAAGAATTTCACTGTTAGTCGAATGTGGAAGGTTCAGGTCGACAACCATTTGACCGACTGGTATCCAGCGAGCGTGGCATGCCCCAAGGCACTGTACTAAGGCCCACTTTATTCCTGATCCATGTAAACAATGTGTCTCAGCTACTCCCTTCACCTCGTGCGTTGTTTGCAGACGACTTGGTGTGGAGAGTAAACCGCGCACCCAGTGTCTGTGACCTGCTTCAGCAGGGCCTCGACCGCCTCTCCACGTGGTCAGCTGAGGTCAACCTTCCGATCCACCCGGTCAAGTCGCAATTCATGAGGCTGGGTAAGTGTGAGTGCAGTCGAACCTACACGGTTGCCGGTCAACCGTTGCATCCCGCACCTTTCGTGCGCGACCTAGGTGTACTCTCACGCTACGACCTAAAGTCCATGGACAACACGAATAGGCTTTACCAAAACAGCCTTCGTATGCTTTTGGCGCTTAGGCGCAGTTTCTGCACTTGATCCGAAGAGATTGCCACTCACTTCTTCGTCTCAATAATACGACCAATGCTAGAGTATGGCTCTCCCGCGTATTGTCCTGTCCTCCGGAACGAGGTACAAAAGATTGAGCGAGTGCAGCATGTAGCCACCAGGCTGATTCCCAACTTACGAGGTGTGCCGTACGAAGACCAGTGTAAGAAACTAGGTCTGGACACCATAGTTTATCGTCGACTGAGGGTTGACCGTATCATGACGCACCGAATATTACATCTGGGAGATTACCCCATGTTGAGGCCGCTGCTTCATCTGCGCACACCAAGCAGCACACGAGGACACCGGTATAAGCTTGTCCTACCGGATTTGAAGCCGGTCGATCACCAACTGTTTCGAACGCAGAGTGGTGAATGTTTGGAACAACCTGACGCAGCACGTAACTGAGGCAAATTCGTTGTCAGAATTCAAGAAGTTCCTGGACAAATACTTTGCCGATATAAAATATATGGAGCATAACAAAACATGACGGGTCTTTGTCCCTGAGTGACATTAGATGCAGTAAGACAGAGAAAACTCTACTTGCTGCTTCCAACCAGCAATCAGTAATCATAGGCCACTGCGCGCTACGCAGCAACATCGTCCTTGGGTTCTGTATTACTTGCATTGTCTATTGATTTGCAGTATGCAATCTCAGTCTACCTTTCCGAAGTGCCGTGTTCCTTGTCGCGCGCTCCCACTCTACACCCTACGAGGAGTTTCGGGTAGTACTGCGAAACGCTGAGATACTTTTCCGATAACTTCACACAACGTTGCTCTTGAGTCTTACAGGCTTGGAAATCGGGCGCGGGTCAATAGGTTCTGGGTTAACTCCAAGCTACAGCAATATTCACCTCATGTATCCAAACAAGATTAAAAAGTGCAGTACAGCATTGGTGGTACTCTAAACAAATGAGTCACCGCGTCCTAGGCACCAAGGGATACACTGATCTGTAACGGCGATGTCTTTGATAAATTGCCACATTGAATCGCAATGACCTTCATTGCTTAGAGCCTATAGGAGCCTGCGTCCACATCACTCTCGTGTAATCATCGAATGTTCCCGCGTCTAGCACCTAGCGGAAAAGTCTGGAAAGCGAGACTAAATGTTAACCTTTGGCCAAAATCAAAGCCAACTTCGAGCTATGGTCTGTACTATGCTGACTTTGACCAATGTTCACCTTGGTGCCCTAAACTTCTTAAACTTTCAGCAATGGAAAATCATCTCTAACATCTTAAAATATCCTGGGAACCGATCGAGAATTTATGATTTCAACAAAGTTATATAACGACAGGTTGGATTCAATTCCTACTGAAATAGCCACCTAATCCTGCATATTTACGCTCATGTTCAATGTATCAAAGTTGTGGGAATCATATCCGCCCTATTGTTTTCGCTAATTTAGTCGGGGGACCTACATGTCACAAGTAAAGCCAACGACTGCACGAATTTCTATACAACTGTAAAACTTTGTATTAGCGACCTGGATGCCATTTTCTTTCCTCTGATGCAGTGCTGCTTTCGAGCCTACCACAACAGCAGTAATGAATTCCTAATGCTAGAAAAATAATAATAATAGTATGCGAAACTTTATAACAATTATGAGCACAACAAATGTTTTCCAATGATTTTGTAGAATTACATGTCCAAGTGTCGGGAGGCTGCTTCAAACTTTCATGAACGTCTTGTTGAAGCGACGTTGCCATACGCCGAACGACTGGCCAAAGCAGACCCTTCAGATACGGAACAGGTAATAAACTCTCCATTGTTCAGTGTTGAGTATAACTAAATAACTAAATAAATGTTTAATTCCCAACAGTGCGGGACACGCTTACAAAGGCATGATCATAGTAATACAGAGCGTCTAATCAGTAATTATCACAAGTGTTACTATGTAACCAGTACATACTGGAATTATGTTTTATGTATATATGTTAGTGCTTGGGTGAGTAATTATGTTGAGTGAATTTGTTACTGTTATGCTGAATTTGTGGTTGTGTTCAGTGAATCCGTCAACATAGGAAGGAATCAAATAATATCTTCGAATTGTCTGACCTCCGTGAGGGGGGTAAAATCCTCGGGAAAGGCTGGAACCAGTGATTTTATTTAGTGGTAAGTCATATTCGCCACGTCACAGTGTTGTTAAACAGACATTTGTGATTTTCTATATGGAGGAAGCTTGTCAGGCTAAAAGCCACCACGTCCTGGAACACTGCCGACGAACCATTTGCTGGAACAGGAGTAACGCGGACCACCCAGCTGGCACCACGTGGAGGTTGTTCAGCTATACAGCCATGAAATTCTTGAGCAACTATGTATTCCATGGCTCCTAATCTATTCCATAACCATCCTCAAGCAGAAGAATAAGCAGTTTTAGCCTTTTTCTACTATTTCACAAAGCCATCTTCAGGTCCAAATAGCATTAGGAAACTAGAGTCATCTGAGTACATTGTATGTGCTCCAAACTGACCTATGAATGAAACTGGACACACTGACAGTCTATATTCTACAGCATACCACGTCTTATTTTTACCAAACTATTCGATGCTTGTGCAAGGAGGATGTAAACTGGTATCGCAGCATCGTACTTCCAGCAAATCCGATTTCGTCTTGTTCTCCGGGCTGAACAGTTTTATTGCAGACGTTCCATCACCAATCGAGGTGACTTCTTCAGTGCCTAGTAAGCAAACTGAGTGGTTTATCCATTCTTGACCGATGCATGAGTGACGTTTGGAATTGGCCACTTTGATTCACCTCCGGTGACCATTGCTAGTTCGTAGGTCGGAAGCCGTCTCTTTTCGACTCAGTGCTGAATGACACACGTAAATTCTTTTTTTCGCAGCTGATGGTATACTGGATCTAAGCCAAGGCGCAGGTTTATTGAATTCTCCGTAGAAAACTACGTTTCCAGAAATTCTGTTCTTTTTCTGCTCTCATCCTGTGCTAGCACCTCTGTTTTCTCTAATCAAACATGTATTCTTCTTCAACAACGTGTGTCGAGACCAATGATGGTGCGTAATGGTTTCGACAGGCTCGTTTGTGCTCTTGTAACTTTGTAGACACTTTTCTCCCCGTTGAGCCTATATAGTTCTTATCACAAAATTAAGTGTATACGGATCTTGCTTCGCAGGATAGAATCACATAGTAATATTGTGGAAGCAAAACGCGAAGAAGAAGACGATCTGTTTATATCCTTCATGCGCAACGGGTATCCACCCAGTTTCATCCGAAGGTATATAAACTACAAGAGTACAAAAACCATACCTGAACCAACAACAACAAAAAGGATTGCTTTGCCATACAGCAAGAAGGTATAGGAACTGAATATAGACTCTCTAAGCCTCACCATCTGTTAATAGCTCACATACCAACTGCCAGGCTGAAAGAAACCCTGTCTAGACCGAAAGAGAAAACGAGATCACACGAACGCCAAACTACTAGATCCTCATACAAGGAGGATGTAAAATGATATCGCCGCACAGTAATTCCCAAATTTCATTGACAACTTGGATCATTGCATTCTACTTCTCAAACTTTAAAGCTCCGTACCTGGCCCTCTCGTTTTAAGCTGGATGGGCAACTTTTGCATGAATTTCATTTGTGACGGTTGGTAGTATAGTATTTCATCTACTAGAAGTCCAGTGTGGAGGAGCCTAAGGTCCAATAATGGCAGCACATATATTTTTCGTATTCAAGACAGTTTCGCGAGGTTGATGATTGCATGTCTGTCACGCCTCAGTGAAGCTGTGAAGACTTGGTGCGCTATCAAGCTAGTTGGGGATCACCTAGCATTAATAAATTTCGGCAACACAACTTACATGTAGTGGACCGATACCATGAGTCTGCTCATTGCGTTCAAGTTTTGGGCATGCGGCTTCAGAGTACTCGCGGCTGCAGTCACTGTCCATGGGTACAGCAGGATATCTCCATGACAATGATCTAAGAATGCACAGGTAAAGTGATCTTCGACTGTTTGAACTAGGGTAAACATAGTAAAAGAAACGCAGTTGAAGAATTCTACTGTCCCTTATATTCGCAAATGCTTGACTCTGACATGCAACAGCACGTGAAATATATTATCAAATCTTGGTAATAGTAGAACAAGTAGGATCCCACCGCTTCCAATATGACAAAACTTAGGGCAAATAAGAGCGTTCTTAGCTTCTTCAACTCTCCATAACAGCCTTAGTTGAGGATATTATGGGGATACGACGGAAGTTAACTTTGTCTGTGGGTTGATCGCTTAGTGGAGTGGCTTTATCAAAACAATACAATCAACTTCTCTGCCATTTCCTGTAACGCAGGCACAATCCAATGCTGCTTGCTTATATGCATATGAGGGGTGTACAAGAAACTGGAATTTTAGGATAGCGAGGCAACCGGCAGAGTGAGCGCTCTGCAGATACTGTGTGCATATGGAGGCTGGCTAAGACAACAACCTGCCATTTGCTGCCTTTTGAGCTGACTTTTAGTTGTGGAGCTACAGCCGCTGAAGTGAGTACGTGCACATGCTGTTCGTCGGACTAGTGCCAAGGAGATAATGAGAGGTTAAAGAACAACTCATGCGTGTGAACTTTTGACACAAACTTGGCAAAATCTTACAGGGACGTTTCAATTGCTTAGTCAAATATACCAGGAGGACTGTGAGTCGCACGTAGTGTTATGAGTGACTTAAGTCTTTTGAGCACGACAAAATGTTGGTCGGTGATGATCCCAAGTCTGGACGACCTTCCACATCAACAAACGATGGCGATTTCGGGAGAGTTCATGCTGTGATCTGTGAAGATCTCCGTTTAACTGTTCGAGAACTTGTTGAGCACATAGGCATCAGCATAGTCTCATGTCATCGAATTCTAGCGCAGTTGAGGGATGCTGTGCGCATAAAGAGGCCTGAACAATAAGAACACAAGACATGGATGTTGCATCATGACCATCCGCCGGCTGACGTATCGCCACTTTTCCGCAGCAATCTAGAAAAACAACACAATCCCATTGTGCACCATCCACCGGATTCTGTCGACCTAGCCTCCGCAGACTTTATCCTGTTTCCCAAATTTAAACCCACTTTGAAAAGACGTCATTTTCAAACCATAGAAAAGATTCAGAACGGTGTAATAAGCGACCTGCGCACCATCTACGGAAGTGCGTTCCAGGCGACTTACCAGCAATACAAGCACTGTTGGGAAGGGTGTGTTGCTAATGGGAGGGACCAGTTTAAGGGAAAAGTGCTTAAAATGTCGTGCAATGAGCAATAAAGATGTTGCAGGACAATTTCGGTTCCTTTGAACACCCTTCCTAAATCGTCTATGCACTGAAGCTCGCTGGAACTATGACGAATTGTCCCCAGCCTCCGGGTGTCTCAGCTTTGGTAAGCTTTTAAAAGTTCATCTGTATATAACTACATCTTATAGCCAATCAAAACTTCCATGAAGCTACACTGACATACTTGCGTCACGTGCTATAGCGAATGCCCATTGAGTGACGAGGCAGCAGTGTATTCGTCATGCATCAAAATCGATTAATGTAATCTCTTCTTTTTTCAACTGCTATGGACGTACAGTCTAGTGAGAGGAAGTCTTGACCTACGGAGGTTAGTTACAGTCATCTACTAAGGTAGCAACCTACGTGGCAGTGGAAAATAGGTCGTGATACGTCCCAGTTAGTTTGCAAATTGTATAGCCCAGTCGACGTCCCCCATGGCCCATTGGGTTAAACTGATGGCTAGTTGGCATCTGCTTCTACCGGTCATAGATTCGTTCCCCAGTAAGGGACCGAGGGAATGCGCACCACTGACGAGCCCTAACAGGACGAAACGCGTCTGATGCTTTCCGGTCTATGCTGTGCTAGGTAGCTTGTAAGCAGATGGGACGAAGACATTACAATTAAAATCCCCTTACTCATTATTAATTGAGCGTTTGCCCTTCGTATGGCAATAAGCATTGGTTGACCGGTTTAACAACGCTGGTTGGAGAAGAATCGTATGCAGAAAACGTAACTGTGCAAGGTATATTATATGTTCGGTCATGTGAACAGCATCAAATATTTGAGGAACTTGCTAGGCATCCGCTTGTCCGGAAAGTTTTTAAGATGGCTCAATGAAACACACTGTTACACATATTCCCTATTGACGTTGTAAGCAAATGCACACTGTAATTTTCACTTCAAGGCGAAATGAACCACCTCAACATTCTTTTCCGGTTATACAATTATGATACCGGGTTTCTTGCTGTGTGGGTTACATCGGGTTCGACGGTGAAAAGCATCCGCCTGTATTGGTACATGTGTCCTTAAATAGTACTCTTTCGTGCGGTTAACCGCAGCAGGCGAGCAAGTAACGCTGCCGGAATAACAACACAAATGACGGTTCTGTTGTAGACACAAGCAGACAATCGACAATGGGAACGTAAGTGCATCCACGACTTATTAGATAATCATCTGTGGGTAAGACGTCATCCTTTCCTTTCCTCATCATTCTGAATGATCCCATTTATTATCATTTTTACAATAATGGGAGAAAAGTGTTTTGTTTTCGTCAAGTACGGTTGAACAAGCGTTTGGCTGGGACTAGGCAGGTGAAAGGTATTCCAGTAAAGAAAGAAATTTGCATCCTTTCCAGGATCGGCTTATATTTTAACTGTAATGGAGTTCTCGCATTGAGTTGATGTTGGATTTGATAAGTTGGTCGAATGCAAGTTAAGCAAGCTGACTTAATCAATCTAAGTTTAAGCATTTCCAATGGGTTACACGCTCCTTTTGATCAAAAAGGTAAGGCTACTTATCCCGGATATACGGAACAGTGAATTCCACTTTCATATAGTATTCAAGTTACAAGTTTGAAGAATTGCATATTTAAGGATTTTAATATTCACTTTTTTCTCGGAATAGGCTTAGAACCGACTGGAATTTCATGATTTCAAAAGGTTTTGGAAAAAATCTAAAAAAGTAACCGCTTGGCATTCACAGCCTACTGAAATCGATCTTTTCTATTGTTTGCTTAATGGTACGTTCGTTCGGGCTACGCAGTCTAAAATACGCAACACATGTATACGTTTATTAATTGTGGAACACGGGAGTAGTACATAGAAACTATGCAAGGCGCCTCTTTTCGGCGGACACATGCTTGCTGTCGAGTCACTTTGTTAACAATCTTACATGATACAACAACTTAGACGTCGCGGTGTCGCAGGGTTAGTAGGTGCCGTGTTAAGTTGTTGAAAACAACTTTGTGGCTCGCAGTACCTGAAATAACTGTTCTCATGTGCAAACTGAAGTAGTGTTGTTGGTTTTCACTTGGTTGGGACCCATAAATAAAAGGTTAACCCAAGCATTGCTCGCGGATCTAAGTGGCATATTGATCAGGACATCAGCCGTGAACCACTAGACTTTGAGTTCCACCCCAGCTCAGACTATCTCCACCTGGTGTGTCCAAACCAGGACAAAACCGCGGTCATGGTGTGTCTGCGTTGGGAAGCGAAACACCGAAATACTTTTAGAAGGTTAACTCGTACTATACTTTTCGGAGGT